TTGGATGATTTTTTTGAATTGTATTGTGAAGATTTTGAAGTAAAGGAAGGGTATATAGGCAAAAAGGTGCAGCGCTAATAAAAGTATCAACATTCATTCAGTATATGGAATAGAAAACAAAAAAAAAGGCATTAGGTCATAAGATCGATCATAAAAGTTCGATGTTCAATCCAGTGTCCATGAACATGCAAAAGGGGTACGGTGTGTCAGTACTACCCGGTCTCCTCTGCAGATCAGGGCGAGTGATACAAATGTGAGCAGGGAATATATTAATTAAATGCGCACTCACCAGAAGTGCGTCAAAAAAATGCATGTAAGCAGTATCCTCTCTTCAGATGCATCTAGGTTCTCCACACTCTCTGGTGAAGCCGCGTTCCCTAGTTCTCATTGGTCATCCCTCCTGGTCAGGTTCCATGGTACATAAGGCACTCATACATCTCTAGAGTCCCTCCTTAACCTTGGTGCTGTGAAGGGGTGGTGCTCATGAAGAGCCCAATAAGGGACATCACATAGCGTGATACTGCATAAACACTTTATTCAAAAATTGCACAGGATTAAATGAAATAAAAGTACTGACCGCAAAAAGGGGTAAGATGTCCTGATGCTGTAGCCCCCCCCCTGACGCGTTTCGTGCTATGCACGTTCTCAAAGGGTCAGGGCTAGGTATTAGGAAGGGTATTAGGGTTGGGGGTGAAAAATGAAAGAAAAGGTTTTGATACTATATAAATCCTGTATATTAATAATATTTTTCGGCTTTGTCACCCATTATGGACAAAAATTATATATTTAAAAATGGAGAATTGGGTGTTTATTGCATGAGTAGGCAGGTGGAACAAAAAGGTGTAAAGTGGAAATAGGTTGAAAATGCCTGTAGGAAAAAAACAACAGTATTCAGATCACACCACAAAAAGAAAAGAAAGAAACAAGCCGTGTGCTTTTGTAGCATGAATAAAACGAGCCAAAAGATGAAAACGTTTTATTTGGCACCTCCATCAGTCCATCGAAGCCGCCCCTTGCTCTAGGTCCAGACTCCCAAAAAGATGACCCAGGTGCTGCTGAGCTAAGCACATCAGGAGATCTGGTCTATGGCAACTCTCTTGCGTGAAACAGTGAACAAACAACTTTCGATCTTTAAATCCGTCCAAATTAATAAGCTGCATTTAACAGAGCAGCTGCTGCCAAACCAAACAGCTTCGAGCTCATTTCACACAGCGAACAATGTGCCATCCTTCAGTGTTAGGAGTGCTCAGTCGGCCGAACTCTTGTTTGACTTGGAAAGAGCAGGTCAACAAAAGACGGGACTATATGAGGACCATTATTCACTACACAGATATTTCATTAAATGCCCTGTGGATATTAGAAGGCGGCTGAGACTGGAATCAGGAAGAATCCACAATACAATCTCTAACGATGGAGGACTCAGGTATAAAGAAGAGAGATTATGAAAGAGCAGAAAAACGGCTGGTGTTTGGCTCAGTCTCCTCTAGCAGAGAAACACATTTCCTTCAATCAGTACACATAGATACGCAACAGAAAAAGCAGCAAAGGGCAATCCAAACTGAAAACTCCAATATGGCTTCCAATCTGCTTAGAATTCAGATAGAGAAGCTATCATTGTGACTCAACAATGCACAGCAGCAACCTTAGTGACTGCATTCATTCAATGTGATTCTGGGGTGGCATAATCAAAGACCAAATGTCTAACTTCCCAAAAAATGGTCAGAAGTACAGGTCCGATAACGAAGCATTACACGTCTTATAAATCTGGGACCACCATTAGGCAGCATTGGTTGTGTGTAAAAGGAGTTTTCAATAAAAAGACCCATCAGTAGTTCGATTGGCAGATGTGGCCGGAATAAGCACCTCCACTCATTGAGCTACTGATGAGCCTTTGCACACAACCTACGCCTTATAACCACATGATAATCCCAGAGAAGACCCAGGAGAGGAATACCTAAAGCTTAGAGAGCGACCACCTCTTCCCTGCGTGAAGATGGGTTTTCTGCACCTCTGAACTCAGAAGGTTGGTTGTTTGCCCATCCTTTGGGTGACTACAGCCTCAACAGCTGTAAGTTATTATAAATACGCCTGCTTTTCCAAAAATAATGACATTGTTGGACTCCCGGTAACCTTGCCATTTGAGAAGAGGCAAGTCTTGCTTGCACTACTTGGCTTCTTCCAAATCGAAATGAAAAGCAACCTGGTGGCTGCAATGAGCTGGTTGGTTTTGCTTGGTGCATGTTGGTGTTCCTACTGTTCCATTTGGAACAGGGGTTTCCAAACTACAGTTTATGGGCCATATCCGGCCTGCTAAAAGATTTTATCTGGCCTGAAGATAGGGTCAGTGTAGTATCCTTGATGTGCACAGAGTGAGGATAAAGGTCAGCAGAGGCTGCCTATGGTCTCCATTTCAACCCTCAATATGATGGGAACCCTGATATAAAAGGAGGATTTTGATGTGGACCATGTCAAAAGTGGAGATTCTAATAAGGACTCTTATGTAAGGGGAGTCTAATGTAAAAGGAACTCAGATGGGGACCCTGAGGTACAAAGAAATCTAATGAGGACCCTTATATAAAAGGGACTTTAATGGGGACCTTGACAAAAGAGGGTATCTAATGGGGACCAGGGGCGGACTGACCATTCGAGAACTCGGGCACTGCCCGAGGGCCAGTGGTCAGTAGGGGGCCCCATGAAATTCCCCTGGTACCTTTTATAGGCTTTTTTTGAGTGTGGGCAAGGACACAGGGGCCCCATGATCCCCTATTGCCCGGGGGCCCCATGAGTTGTCAGTCCGCCCCTGATGGGGGCACTGATGTAAGGGGGACTCTGATGTAAAGGGGACCCTGATGTACATGGAAATCTAAAAAGGCCCTGAAGTACAAGCTAATCTAATGGGGGGGGGGAATTTCATGCTGACCTGACCAAAAACGGGGCTCTGATGGTAACCCTGATGTAAGGGGAGATGTTTATGTGAGTTTTTAAAAAAAAACAGGAACTCTAAAGCAGACCCTGTAATAAAAAAAAAATCAAATGGGGATCCTAATGTAAGTGTGGATTTCGATGGGGACCCTGACAAATGTGGGGACTCGAACGGTGACCCAGATATAAAGGGAGCTCTCATGTAAAGGAGACTCTGAAGGGGACCCAGTTGTAAGGTCGTAACTCTGATGGGGACTTTTTACAGCCCACAAATATTTGTAACTATACAATTTAGCCATCATACTGAAAGATTTGGAGACCCCTGATTTAGGGCAAGTGCAGCTTATCTGGTGAAGTATATACAGTCCACATATCCTCAACAGGCAACATAGGTGGTCGAGGAAAGCAACAGCACCAGATGTGCCCAGTCTGTCCTTGTGTGGATCTACTGTTTGATACGTAGTGTGTAGGGTCAGCAGAAGGGAGAAGAATGAAACCTTAACACTCTTCGCTGAATTTTGACTTTTAATATAATTCTCAGATAGAGAATCTCTTTTTCCAAGGGCTCCCTTTTGTTCACAAAAACCTTTCGAGTTCCCCTTTAAATAACTAAACAAAACAAGGTAGTCACAAGTCATGCTATTCCCTGTAGAGCAAATCCAGAGTCACATTCCAGATGAATAATGCTGGCAAAGTCAGAATTAATAAGTCCGAGAACGGATGTCATGTACAGAGATTGGCTTGTAACTCGTCTCAGTTTGCCGGTCGTGTTTCACAGCAGAATAATAAGAGAGGAGGGAAGACACATCACAAGCCAGGGCTGTTTCAAGAAGGAACGCTTACACCTGCCAACTGCATGCACAAGGCTAGCTAGACTGGGGGGGAACAAATTTACCAAGAAAGCATACAATAATACATGAAGGTGTATGTACACTCCATATAGAAAATATACACATGCTTTACATATTGCACCGACTGAATCACCTACATGAGGTTCCATTTATAACGGGAGAGAAGACTTCCACCTAAACCACTAAGAAAGATCTCTAAACAATTACATAGACCAAAAATATGAAAGGCCTGAAATATGGACATTTTTGAACATTCTCATCCAAGGCTCTATGGAACCCTGGGGGTTCTTCCAGAGGTTTTTAGGGGTTATTGAGCTGTGGCTCATTGACCTTCCATTTGATGGGAGTCTGCTGCGGTCAATTCCACATGGCTGCACCAGTGACATGAAGCCAACTAACTTTTTAGTGGTCTGTAAAGGTTGTATTCTTTCCACTGACCACCAATGAAAGGGTTGCGTTCTTCCCACTGACCACCAATGTAAGGGACATTCTTCTCACTGATCACTAATGTAAGGGACATTCTTCCCACTGACCACCAATGTAATGGACATTCTTCCCACTGACCACCAATGTAAGGAGCATTCTTCCCACTGACCCCCAATGTAAGGGACATTCTTCCCACTGACCCCCAATGTAAGGGACATTCTTCCCACTGACCACCAATGTAAGGGACATTCTTCCCACTGACCACCAATGTAAGGGACATTCTTCCCACTGACCACCAATGTAAGGGGCATTCTTCCCACCGACCCCCAACATTCTTCCCACTGACCACCAATGTAAGGGGCATTCTTCCCACCAACCCCCAATGTAAGGGACATTCTTCCCACTGACCACCAATGTAAGGAGCATTCTTCCCACTGACCACCAATGTAAGGAGCATTCTTCCCACTGACCACCAATGTAAGGGACATTCTTCCCACTGATCACTAAATGTAAGGGACATTCTTCCCACTGACCACCAATGTAAGGGACATTATTCCCACTGATCACCAATGTAAGGGACATTCTTTTCACTGACCACCAATGTAAGGGACATTCTTCCCACTGATCACCAATGTAAGGGACATTCTTCTCACTGACCACCAATGTAAGGGACATTCTTCCCACTGAACACTAATGTAAGGAACATTCTTTCCACTGACCACCAATGTAAGGGACATTCTTCTCACTGATCACCAATGTAAGGGACATTCTTCCCACTGACTACCAATGTAAGGGACATTCTTCCCACTGACTACCAATGTAAGGGACATTCTTCCCACTGATCACCAATGTAAAGGACATTCTTCTCACTGACCACCAATGTAAGGGACATTCTTCCCACTGATCACCAATGTAAGGGACATTCTTCCCACTGATCACCAATGTAAGGAGCATTCTTCCCACTGACCCCCAATGTAAGGGACATTCTTCCCACTGATCACCAATGTAAGGGACATTCTTCCCACTGATCACCAATGTAAGGGACATTCTTCCCACTGATCACCAATGTAAGGAGCATTCTTCCCACTGACCCCCAATGTAAGGGACATTCTTCCCACTGATCACCAATGTAAGGGACATTCTTCCCACTGATCACCAATGTAAGGAGCATTCTTCCCACTGACCCCCAATGTAAGGGACATTCTTCCCACTGATCACCAATGTAAGGGACCTTCTTCCCACTGACCCCCAATGTAGGGACATTCTTCCCACTGATCACCAATGTAAGGGACATTCTTCCCACTGACCAATGTAAGGAACATTCTTCCCACTGACCACCAATGTAAGGGACATTCTTCCCACTGACCACCAATGTAAGGGACATTCTTCCCACTGACCCCCAATGTAAGGGACATTCTTCCCACTGATCACCAATGTAAGGGACACTCTTCCCACTGGCCACCAATGTAAGGGTTGCACTTGATCACTGTGCTGGGAGTGTACTCTCAGCACAGAAGCCCCGGCCACCGTGGACACATATGTGCACCATGTGAGGGTAAAGACCCACCCTCCCTACCGCTGCACATATACACTCGTGGTTGTCAAGAGTTAAGCACTGTTGTTTTTTCCTTGTATGTGCACTTTGCACTCATTTCCATCACCACCCTGTACCAGCAGCACTCTGTGTGCCCTGAGCATTACATTACAGCCCTGTACCGCTCTTCTGACAAAGTGATTTACTGTGCCGTCTAGCAGGAAACATGCAACATGCGACCTGCCACACCACAAGCAGAAGGCAAACAATTATCTGAAGTATTTACAGCTTTCTCTGACTCAAGTGAGCAATTAAAACTACACATATTTAACATACTTTTAACACAGTTAATGGTACAAGCCAGGGGCACAAGGCTAGGCACACAAGCTTAGATCACAATCAGTTTCCCCCATTCCACGCTGTACAGCACAGACAGAGGGATTTCCACTGCCCGCTACTATACTCTGGCAGCTCAGCACATGGAGTTGCCTGAATACCTGGACTGTGACCGCTTCTGACTGTCCAATGGCCAGCATCATTCAACTGACTCCTGTGAGCCCAGGTCATGCTAGACTCCCCCCCCCCCCCAGGACTGGTGACTGTGTGAGAAGCAGCACAGTGATGGGCTCATCTGTCTATCACTCTTCCAATTAGCATGTTTTTTTTTTTGTCAACACATGAACTGATTTGGCTTATTGTGCTGCTTCTCCCTCTCATGCTCCAGCTCTGCTGTATAGGGACTGCAAGAGACTGATACCAGGTCATATTCAGGTACTTACACTGCTTACATTTAATGATGCATTAATGATTGTAGAGCCACTTACTTGTGTTTTTTTTTATTTCGGCCTAAAGTTAAAGCGGTTGTAAACCCTTTCACATACCAAGTGAAGAGACCAGCCTCAGGTGATACATAGAGATGAAGCAAATTCTCCTACATAAGTTGTATCTGTTTATCTGCACCCTCTCCCCTCTACAGTCATATAGAATTTATACAGCTTGCCTGAGCTTCCAGAAAGCAGGGAGGTGGAGAACTGAAGTTGTACTCTGCAGAGCTCAGTCAGCTAATTGGAGGGAAGAGACATCCTTCCCCTCCCCCTTCACACAGCACACAGGAAAAGAGCTCAGGCTGTCAATCACAGGCTGTGTGTTGGAGGTCCCTCCCCTGTCACCTTTTTCTCTCTTGGTGTCAGGAAATTTGGCAGAAGTGACTAATGCTGATAGCAGAAAAAGGAGGCAGTAGAGACACCTAGTGCTCTGGATTGAGACAAGTACACACGAGGGACATGCTTTGTTCATGAACTGAAGTTGTACTCTGCAGAGCTCAGTGAGCTGATTGGAAGGAAGAAACATCCTTCCTCTCCCCCACTCACACAGCACACAGGAACAGAGCTGAGGTTGTCAATCACAGGCTGCGCCTCCCCATCACTATTTTTCTTGGTGTTAGGAAAACTCATCAGATATGACTCTTGCTGATAGCAGAGGAAAGAGGCAGCAGACAGAAATGACACTTGGTGCTCTGGATTGAGATAGGTACACACTATAGAGGGACATGCTTTGTTCATGTTTCATTACAGACACTTAAGCTTGAAAAACTGCTTGAGACAAAAAAAAAAAAAAGAAGAAGAGGTATAAGAAATAAAAGAGAACAAGCTTTAAGCATTAAAATACAACTTTGATGATCGATATCATGAAAACAATAATATAAATCTCTGGCAATCAAGGTGAGTGAACGCAAAGTGTAAAATAATAAATGAAATTTAAGTTGGCGGAGGGAACCGCATTCCAGACTCAGCCCTCCGATAACCAACATCACAATAAGGTTTCATGCACATGGATGCATTTGTTGTGCAGCAAAAACACATTGCGAATTGCTGGTGTCCGGGATGTCCTGGAGCATGAAGAACTTTACACTTAGAACAGAACTTAGCTGCCTACAGTCACCTTACCCCATGGTGTCTCAACCTGTGGCCCTCCAGCTGTTGCAGAACTACAAGTCCCATGAGGCATTGCAACCCACTGACAGTTACAAGCATGACTCTCAAAGGCATGATAGGACTTCCGCAGTAGCTGGAGGACCACAGGGTGAGCACCCATGACCTGGCCCATTCATATCTATTGGCAGCTGAACGTAGCTCCACGACATTCTGGGTACGGGCAAATGCATCCATGAAGCTTTCAGAAAAAAAAGTTTTACCTTTAGTTATACTTTGTTTTGGACAGAGTGCAGAAGGATTGGATTCCCTGTCAGGCTTTTATTGCTGTCTGTGCCCCCGTTAGGGAGATTCCACCTCTCTATTCATGCTGTTTACAATTATCTTTGAAAAGTGAAAGTAAAAGAAACCCCAAATTTTGGGTTGTTCCCAAAAAAGTATTAGTGGGGAAATCTTCCAATGGGGACACTAGTTATAGTGACCTGGGGATCCCCTAGGAACTTCCTTAATTTGCAGATATTTTCTCACTTCCTGTTTGGCTATGGGACAGGAACGGAGGGTAAATCTCCCCAATGGGACACGGATGGCAAAATAAATTTAAAATCTGACCGGGGTTATAACCCTCTCTTACTCTCTCCAAAATGAAAAAAAAAAAAGTTTTGCCTATGGTTCTACTTTATTGCGTATTTTACAACCAACATGATTAAAAAGTATCTGCGTTCTCATGGAAACTAGAATATTTCCAAATCATGAAAGCAGTATTAAATCCAAAAGCAAACATTTATTATAATGCAGCTTACCAATTCTTCAATGTGACGGCTGCATTATTATTATTATTATTATTATTACACAGTATTTATCTAGGAGGGAGGGCATTAGTTTTCTTTTATAGGCTCTCTCTTTTTTCTATGTTCATCTGGTGATCAGGCAAGTAAGTCTATTGTTTTTCAAAAGAACAAGCTCTCTTGCGTATTGCATCAGTTACAGGGATGAGACAAACCATTTACCACTGTGAGAGGTGCTTACAACAATCAGCTTTTATTTATTCATGTAAAACCTTTATCCCAAAGGGAACTGCTTATAAAGCGTTAGCTGGAGTTCAGCATAAAGAAGCCAAGGAAAGATGGAAAAATCTCCAAAAGGCATCAAATTACAGATTAGACATTCTTATAATATGTCAACAAAAGTTAGATCTTATTTCCATCATTTACACTTTCAAAATAACAGAAAACAAAAAAATGGCGTCTGCAAAAGTTTGGGCACCCTGCAGAGTTAATATCTTGTACTGCCCCCTTTGGCAAGTATCACGGCTTGTAAACGCTTTTTGTAGCCAGCCAAGAGTCTTTCAATTCTTGTTTGAGGTATCTTTGCCCATTCTTCCTTACAAAAGTCTTCCAGTTCTTTGAGATTTCTGGGCTGTCTGTCACGCACGGCTCTTTTAAGGTCTATCCATAGATTTTCAATTATGTTGAGGTCAGGAGATTGTGAAGGCCATGGCAAAACCTTCAGTTTACGCCTCTTGATGTAATCCCCCGTGGATTTCGAGGTGTGTTTAGGATCATTATCCATTTGTAGAAGCCATCCTCTCTAACTTCAGCTTTTTCACAGATGGCATCAAGTTACCATCCAAAATTTGCTGAAATTTTATTGAATCCATTTTTCCTTCTACTTGTGAGATGTTCCCTGTGCCACTGGCTGCAACACAACCCCAAAGCATGATTGATCCAACCCCATGCTTAACAGTTGGACAGAGGTTCTTTTCATTAAATTCTGTGCCCCTTCTTCTCCAAACGTACCTTTGCTCATTCCGGCCAAAAAGTTCAATTATAACCTCATCGGTCCACAGAACTTGTTTCCAAAATGCATCAGGCTTGTCTATATGTTCATTTGCAAAGTTCAAACGATGATTTTTGTGGTGAGGACGTAGAAGAGGTTTTCTTCTGATGACTCTTCCATGAAGACCATATTTGTACAAGTATCTCTTTATAGTGGAATAGTGTGCCACAACTCCAGTGTCTGCCAGATCTTTCTGGAGGGATCGTGCAGTCAAACGTGGGTTTTGAATTGTTTTTTTCACAATCCTGCGAGCTGTTCTGTCTGATATTTTTCTTGGTCTTCCAGATCTTGCTTTAACTTCCACTGTTCCTGATGACTGCCATTTCTTAATTACATTCCGAACAGAGGATATTGACATCTGAAAACGCTTTGCTATCTTCTTATAGCCTTCTCTAGCTTTGTGAGCGTCAACTATTTTCAGTTTCAGTTTTCTAGACAACTGCTTAGAAGAACCCATGGTGCTGATTGTTGGGGCAAGGTCAGATGAGTCTGGGCATTTAAAACCTTTGAGATTGACATCACCTGGTCTTCCCAGACGATGATTGAGAACAATCCATGACACTGGCAGGTCTCAGCTTGGCAAAGGGGGCAGTGCATGCTATAAATTCTGCAGGGGGACCAAACTTTTGCAGACGCCATTTTTTTGTTTTCTGTTATTTTGAAAGTGTAAATGATGTAAATAAAATCTAACTTTTGTTGACATATTATAAGAATGTCTAATCTGTAATTTGATGCCTTTTGGAGATTTTTCCATCTTTCCTTGGCTTTTTTATGCACAATAATACAAATTTTTAGCTGGGGTGCCCAAACTTTCGATCCCCACTGTATCTAAATATGCTAGCCCATCTGGAGAGACTGACAATGCTGCTGTCCAAAGATGCCCCCTGTGCTCCTTCTTCCAGAGTGGGAGCGCTCTAATACAGGAGGTGTGTTACTGGCCAGATCACCAGGTAAAAACAGGGGAAAAGAGCCTAAAAAAAAAAAAAAACGAATGCAGCCAACATATCTAATGACTGGTAAGCTGCAATATATTACATTTTTGGTTGTTTGTTTAATATTGCTTTAATTCCTCTGTGCTGCAAGAATGGTGGGGAAGAAGAAACTGATTGGCTATTGCAGGGC